GTGTAACAGATTCTTACGTGTACTTAACGGTACCCTCCACGTCACTCCCCACTTCCTCCGACCCTTTTTTTTTTTCCTTTTACCTCCAGGCAAAACCAAGCTACTGGGTAACCAAGCTCGCGAGTTCACGACGAACCCAACTCACTGCTTGATATTTGCGATTGCATTCCCTCACCTTACCCCCTGCCTTTCGCAGATCGAATCAATCCAAAAAAGCTCTATAAATGCACCGTCACTTAATTTCCTCTTTCTCTTCTATTTTCTCTAAATTTGATTTATTTTTGTAAATTCAGCATCAGATTGCGCCTGAAATTTGAAATCGAGCTTTGGTTTTGTGTTTGTAATAATCAGAGCATGCACTGGTTACTTAGTCTCGTTTCGAAACTTCAAATATGTGTTTCTTTTTGGTTTTTGTTGTTTCTGTGGAGTGGAGTAGAAATTATGAGTGTAAATAATCGGAGTTCTGTTGAGAATTGAGAATGTGTCCTCGCTGGGTTTCATTCAATTCTGATGCTTCTCGACCGGCCGCCTTATAATCGTAGCTACAATCGTGTCGATCAGAGTACCGGTGCTCCGTGCAAAAAAGTTCCCCACAGCGACACTGGAACCCAGTCAATCCTACACGCTTTCTGCAACTAGAACATCGATTCACCACTTTCTTTTCCACCATCGACAAGGCCTCCACACTCAAGTTGTCCAACGAGGAGCTCTGGCTGCTGCTTGTCATCGTTGTAGCAGAAACAGGATCGGATCAGATCTCCAACGATTGATCGAGAAGTCCCAGATCTTGAGGATGGCTTGGTCGAGAATTTCATGATTGAGGCTCCTCCAGCAACCGCCCCTCCCGAGGTAACGTTGGCGGTGGAAGATGGCGATGAGGAGGAGGAGGAGGTTGTAGCAGTGGTGATGTTGAAACATTTCTGACACATGTTTTTGGTAGCCGGATTCCCGGTCACTCTGCAATTGTTGACGCAAAGAGTCAAGGTTTCCGGTGCCTTAAACTCGGTCTCTGCTTTCTCGATTTTTTGAGCCATTCCTCCCTGATTCATGTGTTGCAAAACAGAGAAGGAAAACGGATTTCGTTAATTTAGAGAAAGAGATGAACGGAGAAGAGAGAAAGAGAAAGAGAAAGAGAAAGCCTGGGTTCGTTGGAGGTAAAAGGAAAAAAAGAAAAGAAAAGAAAAAGGCAGGAGGAAGTGGAGGGTGACGTGGAGGCTATCGTTAAGTATACATAAGCATCTTTTACTTGGCATACCCATGTTAGTTGTTTTAGGTAACTTAATGCGTCATCCGAGCAAAAATTAATAGAATGACTAAAAGGGGTTGGATTTGTGAATAGTAAGGATCAAAAAGAAAATTTTTTTGATACAAAGATCAAAAAAAAGTTTTTTTTTTTTTATAGTAGAAGGACCAAAAAAGATATTTAACTTTTATCTTTTTAGATAATTTAGGTAGATTTTATTGTTATTTGATATCTTTTCAGTAAAGGTTTAAAATAGGGGACGGAATTGGTGTGTATTGTATTGCCTTAAAATATTTTTAATAATAGATAATTTTAATAATTATTTTTTTATTTTTTAGTTCAGGTAAATTATATTGACCGGCAACTTTATTATCAAATCAAAAATTAAGTTTAGTTATAATATCCATATATTCATTAAATTGTTTTATTATCATTTATTTAACCAAGTGATTTGCACTTTTATAGAGTTAGGTTTAATAATACCTTTGGTGCATTACATAGTATGGGTTAGCTTGCATCCCTTTTGACTTTTTATTATTGATTAATAAAGTTATTTTTACTAAAAAATAAACTCATGGAAATCCATATCAATACTTACATGGCACCATATCATTTGTCATGCGTGCATACATGGACAAAATGAGAACACTCTCAACTTTATTATTATTAATATAAATATAATAAATTGAGTCGAGCGTTTTTTTTTTTATTTGCCATTTGAGTCTAGTTCCTTAAATTAAAATTTAATATATGAATTATTTTTAATGTAATTGAGTAAAGTTGAGCCAAGTGAAGCCAAGTTTTGGGTTTAACATGAATTCAACTTGACTCGGTTTTTCAAGATTAGACTCAAACTTGAGTTAGTTGAGCCCAACTCAACTCTAGGTCGAGTAGCTCAACTCAATTACAGCCTTAATTATTAAACACTAAATTATAAGGAAAAAATTTTGGTGATACATTGTATAATTAAAGTTAAGAGATAATAATAAGGTTGAATTAGTAAAAATATATTCACCTACTTAAAAAAATAAAACAATTAATTTTGAAGAAATTTTACACAAAAAACTATTATTTTAAGACAAAAGGAAAGAATGCTAAGCATACAATATTTTAAATACAATATTATGTACAATATAACATATTATTTTGTAATTAACTCTTTTTATTCGAAAATCATTTATAATATATATATATATATATTAACTCATTTAATATCACTTGATATAGTATTACCCCTAGAAAAAGGCTAGAGTTTTCCCTTTATGTTAATGTGGTGCTTATGTGGTAGTTAGTATAGAATTCTTTTAGTTAACTAAGAGATTAACTATTAAAGTTAAGAAATAATAATAGGGTTTAATTAGTAAAAAAATATATTTGTTTGCTTAAAAAAATAAAAAATAATTAATTTTGAATAAAATTTAAATAAAAATTATTATTTTGGGATGGAAGGAATAGTACACAAAATAGAAAAATGCTAAGCATACAATATTTAAAATACAATGTATGTATAATATGACATTTATTTTGTGATTAGTTCTTTTTATTAAAAAGTCCCTTGTAATATTATATATATTAATTTATTTAATATTACGTGATATTGTATTTATAGTATTACCGTAAAAAAGGTAAGAGTTTTCCTTTTACATTCATGTGGTGCTTATGTGGCAGTTAATATAGATTTTCGTTAGCTAAATAAGGGACTTACTAACAAAAAAAGTTGGGAGCGTTCATGTAGCTATATTGATATAGTTTTTGAAGTTATTAAACCATTTTGAGAAAAATTAAACTATTTAAACTAAAGCAATAAAATTGTTGACAATTAATATTGAATTGTTAAATTTAACCTTTATTATTTTACTACAAGTGATAGGTGTGGACTGCTATGGTTATAGTCACCATTCAATTTGTCAAATTCACTAATAGTTGAAAATTTTTTGTCTTAAGTTAATTGTTAAAAATAGTTGATAATTGATAAAATAGTTAATATTTTTTATTTAATAAATTAAAATAGTTAACAAAAAGATATTTCCAAATATCATAATTAATTATTTAAGAAAAGAAAAATTATAAACTGATAAGATTATGGCTAAATTAGTAATTTTAATAAATTAGATGGTAACAATAACTTAACACAATATGGACAGTTCTCATCTTTCTACCTCCGCATCTATGGGACCATGGGGCTAGATGGAAAGAATATTTGACATTAATTTTATTGGATAAGTAAAACAAAAGTAACACATTTTTTAAAAAGAATTGAGGAAAATTAGGGTATATTAATAATAAAAATATCAAAAATAATATTAAAAAATTTAAGTACCTTTTATAAATCACAAATAAAAACAATTTATGAAAAATATTTAAATAATTTCACAAAAAATACTAATCAATTTAAATGGTAAGACATTTTATTTTTCACTTTTCTATAAAAAAATTTAGGATATTAATTTTTTTTACCACATAACATTTTGACCTAGTTTGCATTGTTTGAAATCCATGGCAAGCCCTCTACCTTATTGACTATGAAAGTGTCAGCCCCTTAACTTACAATATGAAACTTTTAGCCCTTCACCTTTTTGACCCAAATTAAAAAACCCAAAATGGATGGTGAACAATCATGTGCTTGTTAGAACTCCATTACATATTGTCATGTAATCGCCAATGAAGCAATTCATTTCCATTGTGGACTGCCACTATAGACAATAGTGGTCCCTAGCTAAATAGATGTTGGGGTGTAGGTGACGAGGAAATGACGAGTTAGTGGTATAGATGTTATGAAAGATAACTAGGATGCAACCTACAGGAGATGAGGAAGGTCCTTTCAATGGCACCCATTTCACTTGCAAGAAGCTACATGCTACAGGCCATCTCGCTTTGTCTAGCAATGTTGGTCAACAGCAAATTTTCTAGCAAAGTTTAAAAGTGTAAATTTTCCAGCCCCGTCGAGAGAGCTGGGCAGCAATGATGAAGCTTCAAGAGCTAAAAATGATTACACAACTACTAAAAATGATGAAAAGGAGATGTACATTGTTGTAGGAGTAGCAAGGATATAAAATATATAAGGATTAAAGATTACAACTTCAAAAGCACATTTATACATAGTATATTGTAGCATAATAGTAAAAACAATGGATGTGCCCTTATTATTCTTGACAAATACTCATATTCTATAACGAGCAACCCTTATGTTGTAGGTGAAAAGCACAATGATTACCTTTAAGCTTTAACAAGACAAAAGGAATAAACTTGGAAGTAGTGATGAGAGAAGGAATGATGACTGTTGTGGGGGCTTGCAACTGGAGAGCTTGATCCTATTCTTGATGCCAACCTCTCAATTTGATCCTTTAACGCTCAAGAAAATATCCCAAAACTGAAATTATAGCATGCTATCTTCCATCCATGACGTTCTATAAGTCTAGAAAGTATTTTGCAGTGCTCGGAGTGTAGAAAATATAATAAAAATGATGATTTTGGTTTTTCTTTTTTTTTTTGGTGTATATGGGGAGAGGTTGAAGATGAAGGATTTTTTCAGAGGAAAAATGGAGGTCTAGTGCATAAGGAGGGAGCTGGAGGTGTGAAGTTAGTTCTCATTTGTTGAAAAATGAAGGAAAAATTATATATGTAGTGGTACTTTTGTAATTTTTGGGGTTGATGGGCCAGAATAGCCCAGCAACCTAACGAGTAGATTTGGGTGAGTTGTCAAGTTTTGAGTGGTTTTGGGCATTGTTGACAGCTTTTTGGTAGTGATATAATGAATTACTCTATTTTTCCAACGAAACCCTATTGGTTCTAGTGAAGGATTGGAGATTGCCCATATTTGATAATTCTTCTAGCCATACGAAATTCCATTTTTAGGAGGACACTTGAGTACAACCAACAATAATAAGATCTACCCAAGATTTTAGTAGATTTCCCAAGCAAAATGTAATCTTTTTCAACAATTTCCAATGTAGTGGAACTTATGTAGCCACCCTTTTTAACAGTTTCCAACACAATGTAACTTGTACAACACCTTTGCATTAAATACAGTTGCAACTTACTGATGGGGACTAAAACAACATCTTCAGTTAGTTTTTGATGAGATTTTAAACTTTTAGTTAGCATCAAATGGTATGATTTTGGGGATCAGGTCCACCTCCATGTCTTCACCACCTAGCCTTTTTTGGCAAAGTTGGGCAACATTGCTAGCTCAAAGCTTGGTTGGCGTGAATACCTTACTTCGCGTAACGGGCAATGTTCATCCATCCATGCCTATCAAGCCACTACTCTCACAATTTATCTTGAATAATTCCTATGAACTTGGATTCATGGGCTTGTGTTTATCTACAACAAGAGCAAGATATAAATAAGTATTTGTTCAAATAATTAAGTGTAAAATGTATGAATATATGTAGCGAAGAAGGATGCTCCCTTGTATGTCGAAGGGGATGATGGGAACAAACATTGCCATGCTCTTTTGTCCGTTGGCCATGGCGAGCACTTGTATAATATTGCTATGTATGGCTGGCATGGTGCCAAAATAAAAAGTGAATAATATAAATGTGTGTTGTGATATCATTGTCTCGACCCATGCGTTGCTGGTCGATAATATCTACTAACATATGAAATATAGAAGAAATATTTAGTGGATCGCGACTATCAACGACTAGTAATTTTGTCCCTTTGTATAGAAAGATAATGATGTGCATGACCATCGGCCATGTGGTATAAGTATCATAGGGTCAGTCGTGAACAGCTTTCCCATAGCCAAAGGGGTAACGATTGCTAGCTTTGCCCATAGCTAGAGCATGAACTATGTGGAATTGGAAGAGCACTCCCACTAATTCACCGAGTCGTGAAGGGGTAAATCTTATTAAGCTAAACTCTACCATAGCGATGAATATGTGATAAAGATAGGTGGAGTTGTCTCTATGAAAAGGGGACATTAGCAGCATTCATAGCCTCTAATATGACAAGATGTGGTATTATTGACAAATGTTGGCCTTTCTTGTTGTACTCGCACCGTTAGAGGGTAGCCATCCCGTCTAATTGCGGGGTTGCAATTGTTACTAGCCTCATGCTAATTGTATCGAGTTGCACTGACTCTTTCTTTGTTTTTGGGAGTCGATGTAATGAAATATGTAAAAATGTGTAACCTTTTGTCCATTGTTGAAGGCTAAATGAGATAGCAAATATGGCCCTTTGTCTATTGTTGGGAGTTGTGTAGATGTAGTCTATTGTCTATTGATGGGAGGCATATATGTGTAGCAAATTAGGCTCTTTGTCCACTGTTGAGAGCCAAAAGATGAAGCTGCAAATATCATTGTAAAGAGCACAGCCATAAAAATGCTTAGCCATGTTGTAGAGATAGATATAGCCGTGTCCGGCCATGTATATAGAAATAGATGTTGGATTGGGTTATATTTGTAATATTTCCAGCAAAGTAAATGAACGTCGCTCCTAGTGATGCTAACTCTGTTGCAATAATTAGTAAAAAATAAGAATACCATGTCTGATATAGAAAATAGATCATGTGAGCCTTTACTGATGTGGCGCTACACGTGTTGTCAATTTTAGAGTGATACAAATTCATCCCTTAACATTAGCCCACAAGTGGGCAAAGTTGTGACAACAAGTTTAGCCACTTAGCGTTGAGGGGGACAAATCATTGAGACCATTTGGCTATGATCATGCTGGAATAACGAAGAAATTTGATGATCAATATGATCCCTTCAGTTGAAGCATATATAATGTATAAAACTTAGCACCGATAAAATTCAGCTCTAACCAAGTGCTCTGCTGACATTGAAGTGACTTCGACAGAGGCAAGATTAAGCTAAATCCAACCGTGTGAAATAGGCAGTAACAATTGTAAAGAATTCTAGTATGATTCAGCTAACATTGATGAGCAAGGCTAAAGTATCAGCTAAGAAATTTTATGTTGCTAGTAAAGTCTTGACATAGATTTAATCACATACAGCCAGAGCAAAAATTTCAGCCAAGGGATTTGATGTTGTAGGTGAAGCTCTGATATGGATAGAATAGAGCATGGCCGAAGCAAAACTCTAGCCAAGAGATTCGATGTTGTTAAGAATGATGATGCTCAAATATGGCCATGATAATGAGTAGTATAAATGGAGCACATGAAATATTCATAAAGTCAAAATTAATCTAGGTATGAGAAATTATTCTTATGCTTGGTTGAGCCCTTCTTTGTAAATTCACTTGTAAAAATAATATTTTGGAAAAAGTTGAGTGCAGTTTAGAAATACCCGGGTAATGACTTTGACTCATGCAGATATAAAGCTAGTGAGCGGACTTCCAATCATGTCTTTGCCAGAGTTCTGGCATGGGCTGCACTGTTTTTCTCTTTGGAAAAATAATAAACTCTGAGTAGTTATTATAGAAAAAATTTTCTACACTGTCTTTGGGATGTTTTTTAGTAATTAAAGGAAAAGATAACTTCCCCTTTTAAAAAGATGAAACTAAATCTTCTCCAAAAATCTTGTCATAATGGCGTATAAAAAAGGGAGATTTTAAAGGCGATAACATGTGTGCAAGTGTAGGAGAATAATATGCACCTTATTTATTGCCCCTTAAATAACTTCTAGCCATGCTAATGCGCAACAAGTGGCTGGGTGGTTGGCTAATGCACTTAATGCTATTTTTCAATTTCCCTTTTTGTCATCTTCTTCAACTTCCCTTTTTGTCATCTTCTTCAACCTTCTTCAAAACTTTTTTAGTTTTATCCCCTTCTTAGAAGCTGTCAACCTCCACCATTCTTGCACTTCTATTCCTCATCAATCTTCAATGAAATTTTGTGGATTTTGCATCAACATGACTAGGTTCTTCCTAAAAAGCACACTTTTGTGTTGATTCGTCATCAAGAACCTTTAGATTGTGGTGAGTGGCGATCTTTTCTTTCTCTATTTGCTTTGACCTTTCCCTTTTTTTTTTTGGTTGCATGCTGCAAATCTTTCCACCTTCTCTAACCCAAGTCTTTGTTCTTCTTCTTTTCTCCTCTGTTTTTGTGCGAGAAGGGCTTGAAAATGGCCAACCCCTTCCGAGTTGATGGAATGTAGCTATACCATGACCCATGGTATATTTTCTAGGACAGCTTCTTGGAGTTCAACGCTTGGTCCCCAAAAAGGGTGTTTAAGAAGCAAAAAGATCTGGTTTTGCTCAGGCTTTTCAGGGGTGTTAATATTGATGCAACATGGTTTCCTTCACCCAATGAAGTAATGCAAGTGAGGCTCGAGAGATGAGACTTGTTGCTAGTGCCAATTCACTTTACATTCTCATTGGGTAAGATGGAGGATTGGATGGGTTAGGCTAAGGATATGCTTGTTGAGAATGATTTTGTGGAAGTGCTGTGTGTTATTGGAATTCTTAAGTCCATGGCCTTGAGTTAGATTTTGCAAATCAGTGACAATGTTGAGTGCCTTCGTCGTTTGGTAAGAAGAAGGTGCATGAATACCCATACTTTCATCCTTGCTTTTGGAGAAGTTATTGTGACTTTAGAGGATGTGGCAAACTTGATGTTACTGCCCATTGTTAAGGAAAAGGATCTGCAACACATAGCACTAATGTCAGAGGAGCGCTCTATATTGTAGCCTTAAAGAAAGTGATGAGGAAAAATGCCAATGTGTCTTCTTGATCGTGGAGGGGAGAGTACAGCATTGATTTTTCGACATGGATGTGATACTTTCAGACTGGCGAAGGTAAAGACAGTTAATATGTGTGTGAAGCTTACCTTATAACTTGGCTGAGCAAGTTTGTTTTTGAAGGTTTCTTGAACCATGAGATTATGGTAGAGTGTATTTCACTAGCTATCCACTTGGTTAAGGGTGTGAGATTTCCGTTGGCTTTATTGATATTATGTACACTTTATCATATGGTTGACTTGCTTCATTCTGATGAAATTCTTGGTGCTAGTTATTCTATCATCGAGACGTATTTGTGTTTGTCTTTGCTACAAATGTTTGCATGGGAGAGATTTCATTCATACCACTTTGGTCATGTTGCCAAAGGGAAAGCCTTGAAGGAATACCTTTTGGCGATGTGTGGTTACACTAGTGGGACAGCTCCGTTAACTTACTCTTGGATAGGAAAAAGAAAGGTAAAAGGGCAAGTCCTAGAGGCTGATGGCTTTCTTGATGACCATGGCAACTTCAACTTTCACACATACAAGACAATGCTAGGGGCTCTACCTAAGGTGAGTTTCTTTGATAAGACACTTCATGTAATGCTTGGGAACCAAATTGTCAACTTTGCTACATGGAACTTGAGCCATCTAGAGATGCTCGAAGTGACTGTACCATTCATGCTGCCATGCATTACATGGTGGGGAACATGGGGCCTAGAGTGTTATTGCCTAAACAGAGTTACGAGGTAGTTTGGCTATGATCAAAACATACCTCCTGCTCTTTCTTCGAATAAAATAGATTGGGACAAGGCCATGTGGCCTTGCATTGATGAAGCTACTATCGTTATGTGGAGCTAGGGTATTGCCAAGCTTAGGTTTTTCAGCATCGCCAGGATGTTGACTACATCATCATTGATGTTAAAGTATTGGGAAACATTGTTGAAAAGATTTGATACTGTTATCTAGTCACTGCTAGAAATCTTGACATACAATCTGGCTTCCCAAGATTGTGACCACCTTTTTGTGCACAATAATTCCTTCTTAAGTTAGTACAACATGCACTTGTGGGGGTTCTTGACAAGAAAATATAATGGAGAGTGGGTACCTGTTTACTTACCTACTCTTGGCATGGCAAAAGAAGAGCATAGACAGAGTGGGGTCATCGACAAAGAACGCAGATAGGTGGTAATTGATGATGCTGGAGCTGAAGGTAAACATGCTTCTCTACCTCTGCCTTAAACTTTGGTTCTTCTTCTATTTAAAAAAAAGCTTGGATGGATTGAGTATGTGTTAGGAAATGTTCCATAGTCATGTATTTTCTTCATAATGTTGTAGGTGAAGCCAACGAAGTTGTCCCTTCAAAGAAACCAATCCTGGGTAAAAGGAAAAGTGTAGCCTATCCACCCAAAAGCAAAGCGCAAAGGATTTCTACTTCGTTAGCCAACAAGCAAAGCAAGGCTACAGCACCCATGCCCTCCAATGGTAAAAACTACCAAGGAGAAAAGGACGGGTGATGATAGTGAGAACAACAAGAGTTCTTAGGGTGAGCCAAATCCTAAGGTGATTGAGCGAATCAAGAGATTGAGACCTGTTTGTGGAGGTAAGCACTTGGGTGAGAAGTACTATGATTCGAGCGCTTTGCTTCAGCTATGTATATGCTAGATTTTTCCCTTGTGTGCTATGATTGTTGTTGACCTCACTAAGAATCCTCCAATATATGGGTTAATGTTTGCATGAGTGGTCGGCAACTTCCAATGAAGGCCTTGATCCTATACCAATTTCTAGCAACAACAAAGTCCCATCCAAGTCTGAAGAGGCCAAGAAAGTAAAGGCCTTGGCAATAAACAAGGAGGAGGCCTTAGCAAGGCTTGAAGTTTGTTGAAAAATTCTAACAAGTGAAATAGGTGAGCCTTAACTTTCCGACGACATACTTAGTTTTGTCGACTATATCATTGATTGGAATGATCTTGTGTCCTTCATAGCTAAGTCAACAAAGAAGGCTAAGGCTAGTAAAGCTCTACCATAAAAGCCTACTACGGTAAATCATGTGGACTTGTCCTTTGCCTTTGCAATTGAAGACACATGTTGTCATGGCTCAGAACCAAAACCAAGAGCGAAATAGACAATGTACACTTGTGAGAGGATCCCACAAATGCACAAGGCTCGGAGCTTGTTTATACCACATAATCTACTCTAATACCATAAAATCTCAAAACAAAATCTTAATCCAACATGAATAGTCTAGTAGGCCTATCTTCAAAACAAACTAATTCCCAAACATAAGACTCTAGCCTTCTATCTCGTCACACTCCCCTTGGTTTCTCGAGTCCTCGATTTCGTTACCTGAAATGGTAGACAAGGAAAAATAATGAGATATCTCAATAAGTAAAATATGGATTGCCCTTAACTAAAGTTATAGCATGATGATAAGTGGAATCAAGTATCAAGAAAAACCAGTACAAGTACAAGAATGAAATAGACGCCTTCTCTATAGGTCATGGCCAGTGTTTATAAACCTCCCACTAGTGGGCATAAGATTGCTAGTGAACAATGCCACAAGCAAGGATAATAAATATAGCATGAACCGGTTCTACAAGTAACATGTCGACATGTGCTAGCGTATATAAACAACATGACCATATTGGAAATAAAACCAGGTAGAAGTTAACAAGAAAGCCATAATTTACAAAAAAAATTTCAGGTTATTAGAAAAGTTTAGAAAATTCCAAGTAGGAATGCTCAAATTAATAATGATAACAACTCCATTTTTAAACCAATCAAGCTCATGTTTGTGTAAAACGGGTTTAGTCCCGCCACCGCTTCAAAAAAAAAAAAAAACAGTTTAAAATATACTTTTAAAATCTTTTACCTTAAAATCCAAAGGCATTCACCCAAATTTTACTTACCCCGCCTTGTAAATAGACACTAGCAAGAAATTCAAGAATCTCAAGGCAGTTGACGAGATTTTCAACCTATACCACATCAAAGTACAAAAAGATTACAACATATTCATTAACTAATTTGGTTCCTAACCCAAATTCAAGTTTCCTAAATGAAGAAGCAACTTTTTCCTACACATCCCGATCACCTCTACCCTTTTTAAAATAGCCCCTAAAATGACACTACAAAGGCAGATTTACCAAGAAAATTTGTTGGGCAGAACCAAGTCAAAAAAATGTGGAAAACCAAGTCCAAAACTATACTAGACACCAGCAGAATTTCTAGCAAAAACAATAGTAGAAACAATATAGAAAACAAGTCAAAACTGGGTAGAAATGGACAGCCTTTAAGCAAGAAATGCTGTATCTAAACAAACTTAAAATTTGACAGTTTGTGCATGATTTAAGTGAAAAAAAATCACGTGAATAGGTGTTGCTATTACAGCATAAAAATGAGCAACAACACATGTTTTAAAGTAGCAGATATTTATATATATTTTTCAGAAGCTAAACAAATTAGAACCGAGGCAACAGAAATGGATAATAGGAGTGAAAATTAGATATTGTTTTATGATAGAATAGTAGGGATTTTCTAGGTAAAAACAACGAGGAATTATGGGTAAAAACAACAGAAACACAGTGTAGACTACAAGCCAAACTAGGTAGCATTCAAGCAAAATGTCTAGTAAAGGCAACCAAAACAAAGCAATATCAAGGGGTTTTAGAGCAAAAAAATAGCAACTAATGTCTACTAAAACTAGGATGCAATGTAGTCGCAAATAGAGTGCAAATGAAATAGAAATAGAGCAAATTTATGGCAAGTTTTGGTCAAATTTTGTCCTGGAATTTCCAATAGAATTCACGCTTGGAAATTGATTGATCTGGGTTGAGTGGTAAACAGATAAATTATAGCCCTATGTCTTAGCGTTCTATAGCATTAAGAATTATTTTAATCCAACATCTATAAAGAGAGTTATGACCAAAATACTAACACAGGGTAAGGCTGCCACTTAGGTTAGCCTATTGGAATCAAACTTGCAGGAGATTTTTCACCATGAAAATAGCTTAACTAGGTTAAACATTCAACATAAAAATTGTAGGGCTTCCTCTTAGCTTTCTATAGAATCAAAAATTAACTTAATTTGATAACTATAGATAGAATTATGGGCAAAACACTGTAGATAGGTCATGCTATCCGAATCTAGCAGAATATATCAGATTTGATGCCACTAGGGCAAAACCAAGGAGGAAAACTATAGAAATAAACCCCAAATTGAAAACCCTAATAGGATTAAAGAAAACCCAACTCAATTCAAAGGTAAAAGATGGGTAATATGGTTGATTACTTACTAGAAAGTTGTAGAAGGAGCACCCATTGGGCATTCAAGGAACAGACAACAGCAAATCTTGATATTTTCTAGAAAATATTAGTTATAAGTGGAAATTCTAGGTTAAATTTCATTCTCAAGAGAGATAGGACAAGGAGTCATCAAGCCCTTACCTTGATTAGGAGAAGGAGAAGCATCATAGATTCTGATTTGGAGTTGGAATAGAGGAGAAGAAGAAACCCTAAAAGAGAAGAGAAAACCCGAAAGAGAATTGGGTTTTTCCTTCCCCTTTAATCTGTTCATCTAGCTTCCCTTTCTTTTTTTTTTTCTTTGCAAGTAACTTTCCCCAAGATTGAAGAATGAGACAACTAGGTCCCCCATTAAAATCCTTTTTTATACTAGTCATCTCTTATCTAAATTAATTAATTAATTAATTAATTAATCCACATAAGTGCTAAAATTTTGGGGTATTACACTTGTCTTGAAAAATATCGAAACATGTTTGTTGAGTCCTTTTTACTTTGCTGCAAGACAGGGGAGGTGTGAAGGTTTCATATGGTACCCCTAGCATGGCAAAGAAACCTGAATCAGTGAAGACTTAGCCAGAAGCAACAGTGCCGAAGGTATGAACTTCTCCATTTTAGTAAAAGTTACAAGACACTTTAGTAATCATCAAAGTTGCACCATTGACTTGATTGATTTTGTGTGTAGTCACGTCCTATTAGCGAGCTACCTCCATTCAAGGCTAGCGATTTCAAACTAGTCCAGAGGGAATCTTCGGCCAAGAAGAGTGTTGATACTGCCATTACTGAGAAAGGTACTTTAGACAACCAAATGGAATAATTTACATTTTAGTACCTTGCTTAGTTGAGTGGCATAGTTCTTTTATTGATCAATCACTTTTTGCTTGCTTGGCCAAGTGTTGAAAATGGCAAGGCCAAGGTTGTAGTCATTGTTGGCAAAGAAAAGGGGAGAAAGGCTGTCGAAAAGGTTAGTTTTGATTCCAACGATAGTAGTAGCAATGAGTCTAGTGACAATGAGGCCTCATCCAAGTGCGAGAATGGTTTCGAGCGAGGAGGCAAAGATGAAGGTTTCTATGGCAACATAGACATAAATAGGGTTGCATCCGAAGAGTTTGAGTTGGATGTAGGCGATGCTGCAAAGAGGTATGTTTCTAGCAAAAACAAAATGGATGTTGACAAGCCAACCATGAGTGCAGCAAAGAAGGTTGTCAGTTCCAACAAAGCTGGGCATACTGGCCAACCATCCTCTATTCCAACCAAGTCAAGTGAGGCTGTTGATTTCACTACAAGGCTACTCAAGAACTTAGGTGAGATGAACGATGATAGAGATGTGTCACTGGCTTGATTTGGTTTGGTACCCACTAGCGGTTCACGAGCGGTGGGTAAGCTTGCAGTGCCCATGATGCTGGAGATTTGAGCACACCATTTGCTAAATATCTTTCCAAATCTGACAATGAGTGGCAAGGCTAAGAGAGTGATGATCAAAGATACCTTCTCAATTCTTTGTGTGGCCATGCAACATATAGAGGTAACCCTTTTCATGAAATGAATGATGATTTTTTTTATTTATGTAGGGATGTTATGATGTTAAAAGCATAAACTTTGAGGTTGGCCCTATTTGAGCACATTTGTTAATTCTAGCAAAGGCGTACCTTAGTAAGGTTGAGTTCGGCATGGCTAGAGATGACACAATTAGGAACTTGGACGAGCCGATTAAGGAGCAAGCAAAGCACGTTGAAGAGATTAAAAAGTCCTTGGTTGAAACAAAGGAACTTGTTCTCAAGTTGGAAGAAGGATTGATGCTAGCCAAAGCATACTTGGAATTGCTCAACCAAGAAAAAGAGCACCTGAGTTCTAACAATGTGACTGAGCTTCGCTAGACTTGCATCGAGACTGCAAAGGTTTTTGGAGATGAGCCTAGTCCTTTCTAGCCATGAGTAGCTACATATCCCAACTTTTCCTCGTCTTTTATTCTACTTTCTTCGTAGTGTGATGACTATTGGCGATATCGTCATGATGTGACCCTTCTGTTGTGTTTGTCTTGGGTTAAACATCTTTATATCTAGCAAAGTCTGGACTTTGTTGCTTGTCTGCTAGCTTTCATCATGATTTGTGGTTTTCTATTGTGCTGAATATAGCAATTGGACAAATATATTTTTATTATTTAGTTATGATGAAAAAAGGATCAAAGAGGTTGCCTTATAACCATTTTACATGGTGGACTTTCTTCTTTCTCTCTTTCTCTCTCTTTTTTTTTTTTTTTTTTTAATGTATCAACTCTCCTTGTCTTTACATAATGATAAAGCAAAGCATATGAAATACAAACAAACTAATATGTAAAATGACAAATATAATGAGAGAGTGCTAGGCACGCTTTACTCATGATGACAAAACATAGATAGAGTCGACCCTCTTGGTTGGAATAAATCACAATGCCAAATGTAAATTACAAAATGAAGAGTGTTTACTTATCAAGGAGCAATGCTAGGGAAGCCTAGCAATAATACGGCTTGAGCCACTTAACATTCATGGGGTCCCATAATGACTCTCCTTTATGAATTTTGAGACAATAATATCTGCTATCATATGCTTTCGCAACAATGAAGGGACCGTCCCAATTTGCAGCGAATTTGGATGGTTTCCTCAATGGTCGAAGGCTTTGAGAACCATCTACCCAACTACAAAAACTCTTGCTTTGACTGCACGATTGTAGGCATTTATCATCTTGGATCGATATTTTTGAGCCTTTTCTTATACTATCTGGCCAAGTGTTTCGATAGATTCTAAGTCTTCAACTCACCTTCGGCCACAAATGTTAGCATTGCTATCTAATTCAAATGCAACTAAAATACGCGTAGTTGGAATTAGGACTTCATCAGGAAGGACAACATTGTAGCCACATACTAGAAAATAAGGCAAAAAACCCGTGGCAGTCTTGGACGATATCCAATGAGCCCAAAGAGTGTCTTACAAATGAATGTTCCAACCTCTTTCATACTCATAGATATCTTACTCAAAATCCTTAATAAACTTTTATTGGTTGCTTCTACTTGGCCATTGCCTTGGGAGTAGTATGGAATGGATCTTCAATGCCTGATTTTATAAGTGTCCAACAATCTTCGCACATGCTGATTGATAAAAAGAGTTCCATTATCACAAACAATTTTGTATGGGATTCTAAAGCGGCATTTTATGTGCTCCTTGATGAAATTCGACATCACCAAACCTGTAGCCTTGCAAAGAGGGACAACTTCCACCCATTTAGTAAAATATTTGGTGGCCACCAATATCCAAATAAAACCCTCAGATGAGGGATGGATAGGGCCAACAAGATCCAAGCCCTAGGTATGAAAAGACCAAGAAGTCTTCATATCTTATAATAAATTAGGATGGGAATGAATAAGGTTAGCATGAACTACTTGACAAGTGTGATATCGCCGAATGAAATCTGCAGCATCTTTTTGCATACTTGGTCAGTAGTAACCATGAGCCAAAAGTTGCTCGTACAACTTTTTTAGTTCTTTATGTTCACCACATTCCCTTGCCTGTATCTCAGCCATAACCTTCTAAGATTTTGTCAATGATAGGCGATGAAGTGGTTTGCTAGCAAAGTTGGTGCGAAACAAAACTCCACTATCCATGAAAAATTTTGATAAGAATCTCTTGAAGTTGTGTGCATCCTTTGGAAACTCTAGCCATATTCCCTCAACGGAATACTCCATGTAAAGATGGCACCAATCTTGAATACTGCCAGTAGTGAAGCATTCATTACCTTGATAATATGTTTTCTGACAAGATACACATTGTTGCTGAAATTCAGTGGCTTGGCATGCCCATGTCTAGGCAATAATAACTTGCTCATTGGATCTAGTGGTATAGGATCACATGGCTGTCTTGGCCATGTGTGCAATTATGAATTTCTTTAAGTTTGTGATAGGCCTCTTCATCATTGACACACCTAGCCATGGTACCACTAGGGAGGCGATAATATAGTTCACGAGAAATGATAACATAGCTGGATAGACCCTTTAAAGGCACATCATGTTTTTATTACAGGAAAGTGTTATAAATCTGATACCGTTGGTTAGCACGATCAGGCAACTCAAGTAAGACAGATTCATAGCCATGATAGATTGGTTGCTCCTTTCGAATGACTTGGAACATTGAGAGGATTCTCGATCATAGGCACCCTTGAAGTAATGGTGGCTAATGTGTTAACTAACCTATTCTATGATCATGGTACCTACTCATATCTAAGGCTGGCGAAGGACTATTCCAAGTTTTGGCTGAGAGCGATATGATGCAAAGTGTTCCTCTCGAATAGTAAAGGTACCTTCAATTTGGCAAAGAATCAAACCTGAATCGCCAATAATTTTTAAGTGCTGTACACTAGCTTCTCTACTAGTGGCGAGGCCAACAAGGTAGGCTTCATACTCAACCATGTTGTTTGTGCATGAAAAATTGAACTTTAATGAAATACCACATCATGGCCCTTGTCATCTCTGAAAACAATGCTGGCCCCAGCCTCTTCAACTGTAGAAGAACCATCAAAGTACAATGTCCATTCTTCTTCAATTTCCTGTGCAAAGGTGACTTCACCACCAGAGACTTCGTAAAAAATAGGATACTAGACATCACCAAAGAATTCAAACAGCAAGTTTGCAATAGCTTGTCCCTTGATAGCAATAGGATTAATGCATGTAATATTATATTGGGGCAATTGAAGAAGCTAATTAGCAAGATGGCCAATAAGCATGGGCCGAGTTAGAAGGTACCGAATGGACTGAGACTTGATCATGAGTTGTACTTTATGAGCCAAGAAGTAATGTCAAAGGTGTTGAGATACATAAATTAATGCAAGACAAATTTTTTCAATAAAAAGGTACCTCAATTCGACACCCTTGAAGGTTTGATTGACATAATAGACCGGTTGTTCTTTGCCTTCTTGATCATCTTAGGCAACTAAAGCATTCGCAACTTTGTTAGAAGTGGACAGATAAACTTTAAGTGGCCTGCCTTGGATAGGAACAGATATAGTTGGCAATTTAAGCATGAGATCTTATAGATGTGAAAAGCAACGTTGCTATTCTTCTGTCCATATGAAGGCGGCCTTTTTCTTCGACAATGGGCCGAACACAAATAGAATTTCTGTCAGTAAAGGGATGAATCTATGAATGTATGAGACTTTGCCATTGAACCTTTATAGCTACTTGAGATTTGCAGGAGGTTGCATGGCTTGGATAGCCTCAGGCTTAGTTGGATCCACACTCATGCCATGTTTGTTTACGTGAAAACCCATAAACTTACCAACAAAGACACTGAATGTGCACTTTGCTGGGTTTATTTTCAACTTGTATAGGTAGCATCTGTTGAAGACTTTTCTTAACATATTGAAGTAGCCCAGCCTTGTTTTAGACTTCACCACAATGTCGTCAATGTAAATTTCAACATAAATGTGACTGTAATCATGAAAGTAGCCACCATGACTTTTTGATGAATAGCCCTAACATTTTTAAGTCCAAAAGGCATAACAACATAATAAAAGTTACCAATAAGAGTGTGAAAAGTTATTTTTTCTGCATCACTAGGGCACATACTAACTTGATTATATCCACTCCTACCATTCATGATAGAATACATTTCACAACTAGTGGTGTTGTCCATTAGCACATTCATGTTTGGAATAGAAAATTCATCCATCAGGCATGCCTTATTGAGGTCACAGAAGTCAACACAGCACCTTATCTGTCTATTTTTCTTCCAAGCTAGTACAATGTTGGCTAGCCAAGTTTGCTTCTTAGTCAACTTGATGAATCCTACAACCAAGAGCTTCTTGACCTTTTTTTTTTTAATTTTGAGAGTAACTTCTGGATGGAAGGCACGGATTGGTTGCATAACTGGCTTTGCTTTGGGATCAACATTTACAGAGTACGCCACCAAGGCTCTGAGCCCTAATATCTCATTGTAATTCCAAGCGAAGACATTTTTTTATTCTCAAATCAAGTTGATCATCTTGGTTCTTTCGTCAATAGAGAGAGTGGTGTTGACATGTATATGCTTGGGGTTTGCTAGATCATCCCTAAGATCAACAGCTTCAAGATACTTTAGAGAAGTAAGTGCAAGCTGAGCCTTATAGAGGATTGGCAACTCATTTGGTAAAGTTAGATGATCAGCTTCGTCGAAAGGCTCTTGATACTTAACAAATATTTTATTTCCAGCTTCAAGAGTAAGACATTTTGCTTCGCTGGGAAAAGCTTGCTCATCAATCAAAATGTTTTGCTTTGAATAAGCAAATAAGTGATCAGGAGACATGGCTAGACTATTGGCGATAGAGCCATTCCACGCATAGTTGAAAAGCCCCATGCACCTTCATAAAGTGTATTTGATCTTCTCATTAGGAAGGACAGTTGTAGTACATTTTGGGCACGCTTAGATAGCCTTTGTTGCCTCTTTCTTTTGTCTCTTATGCTTAAGGACACTTCATAGATCGAGATTAAGATTATCTTTGTTGTCATTCCATATTAGCAAAGTAGTGCCAATTGGGCAAGATATTGTTGCTTCACCAGGAGGAGCAAACTCATCATAAAAAGTTGCTTCAGCAAAGTGAGTCTCAGTTTGATCAAATGGCAATGGATTGGCGGGGACTTTTCCATTTGGGTGGCCTTTGACACATTGGTGATAAGTAGAAGGAATAATTTTATGTTGATGCAGCCATGACCATCCCAATAATACATGATAAGAAACTTCTGCATCAATGACATAAAATGTAGTTAGAGATTGGATTGGACTGACCTTTAATTCAAGCTGAATGTATCCAAGGGCATGCTCACTATTACTGCCAAAACCAATTATGTTGAGTGAGGACTTGATAATCCTTCATTGAGGAATTCCTATAGCGACAATAGTGTTTAGTGGTATCAAGTTGAGAGAAGATCCCATGTCAATAAGTGCAGACCAACAGAGTTGATCTAAGTAGATAAGTAGAGAGGCTTTCTATGGTTAGGATATGGTGCCTCCATATCTTCATCAATGAATGTGATGGCATTGGACGATTCAAGGTAAGCTTGGTTGACATGCACCTTGATGTTGAGACACTCTTCTCTGGCCTCATTGGCAATGGAGTGGATGGCTTTTATGGCTGTTCATCGTGC